ATATAATATATATATCTAAATAATAGAATTGTAATTTGCACCAAAATTAAAATCGATTATTTTTTCGATAGTATTTCGATAGTACAATCTTACTTACTTACTTACTTACTTAACTTGATTTGAAAAATTTGTTTTTATAGCATTTTATGTTTCGCTGTTTATTGAAGGTGGAATAACCTGGAAATAATAATTTATAATTAAAAAAAAAAGAAATTTAAGAAGTTATACATATTAATTGCTGTTATACTTCACTGTTTTAATACTTACACGTTTTTTGTATTTGTATGCAACTAATTCAATGAATGAAGTTCTTGAAATCAATTTACTATTATACTGGTCCAAAGCAGCTTGAATTTGTTTCGTACGTTGACATGTTTGAGATATTATTCGCGGAGTTATATATAAACTTAATAGTTTGATGTACGTGTCTGTTTGAAAATCTGTTAAAACTTTAATGAAACTGAAAATTTGTGGGTGTGGATGATAAAATTCTGAGTTAAATTTACTGTGAAAGGATTCACATGCATTCGTTGTAAATGACGACGAGGATGATGCAACTGCCCAAATATACGGTGGAAATAATGAATTGTTGTCTATATAATTGTCAGTCAAATAGTCAGCAAACATTTGAAATTTAATATCAGATGGTATTGTTGACATAAAGTCATCAACAAAACATGAGCCCACTTCATTAGGATTTAAAAATATTAACCCAAAAATATTATTCAACCATTCACCTTCGGGGATTTTATTATTTTTATACGCTTTACGCAGTCCTAAGTTTTGTACTTTTCTGTACCAAGACTGTGTTAAGTGAAAACGACATCCAAAGATATTCACATTATTCCAAATTTCTTTTAATGCAATATGAATCGATTCTTCAAAATCGCATATAACTGTTTTAGGTTTTAATATTAGACCAACATTTTGACACTCAAGTACCAAAATATTTAAAAAATGTGTACACGTTTGTTTTGTTTTATTTGGTAACAGCGCAAATACAAGTGGAACGTAATTATTATTAAAATATCCATGTAAAGTAAAAAGTTGAGTAAATAATTTCGGACAATAATCGAATGTCCCATCAAGATAAATTGTTTCACTTTTACATAAGAAATCAATGTTTGTTTTGCAAGAAAATATAATTGTATTTTGATCAGAATTGTTTGATAAAATAAACGATTCACCTGTATGTGTTTTAATATCCATAGTTAACAGCATTGTATGTACTTCATTTAGTGATACTGGAAATTTTGGCAATATTTTCCTCTTCGTATTATATATATTACGTCTTAAATCAAAAATATCCTTAGTAGTGATATCATTGAAAACTGTTGAATTTTGCACTACGTTTCTTAAAATTTTAGCCGGTTTTTCATATGGTGATTCCCTAGCTTTTATTTTACACAATTGATTTATTTTATAAATATTTAAGTTTTTCTCATCGTGATTTATACGTACACTTTCATCACGAACCATCGTCATATTTTCACCTGTAGTAAACAATTTTGCTGAACATTTTCTCTGTGTACAACGCCAACGAATTATGTTTGTAGTTTTTGTTTTATAAGCAAAATAAAAAGTATTGTATTCTAAAATATCTTCCCCGCGATTACTTTTAATTATCTTAACTTCCATATTTCAAGAAAAAATATTAAAAACTGCACTACAAAAATATTACGTTAACTTACGTATTACGACGAAACGGCAAGACTAAACGTAAAGGTAGTTTAGTATTTGATCAAAATAATAAATTTATATACATTATATAAATATATATAACGGGATTACAACCGATAATTGGACGTAAAACGTCAAAATATTACCAGATAAAGCGAAAAATCCCGAAAAATTATTATTGTATTATTGTCATTCGTGTCAATCTAGTCTCGACATTTACGAAGATACCGAGGAAAAATCGAATATTCGATAATCGAACAAATAAATAATCGTTTTGGTGCAAATTACAAATTCTATTTTCGACTACCTGAGGGTGGTGCAAATTACATACCCTTAGTTTGGTGCAAATTACAAACACTATTTTTGGCTACCTGCAGTGGTGCAAATTACAAACTCCCACCTAGTTTACACATAACTCGGGTAAAGTACACCTTATTCATATGAATAGTATAAAGTGTACATTATTCAGTATACTATGGATAAGGTATAAAGTAGAAAAAAAACCAAATTATATTAATTCGAAAAAAAAATGGTTAAGTAAATTATATATGATTAAATTATTTTATATAAAAAAAAATTAAAAATTAAACATAGTTGTTTATTGGAACATTTCAGATTTGGATAGCACTTGAGTTATAAAATATCTCCCAAATTTACAATTACTCGTACATTTATTCATTAAACAATTATTTTTACACAATAATTTTTTAAAACTTTGACCATTGAAAATAGATTGTGCATCAGCTATTTCACACAAAGATTTTTTTGTAGCCGACACTTAAAAAATATTTATTAATGGTTCATTATGAATTGTTTTTTATCACGTTTCTTATTTCAGATAATAAGTCATATTATTTTGATTTCATTAAATTAACCGTATTCTCATTCTTTTCGTTAATTAATTTATTAAAACTCTCATATAATTTATCTTTTTAAGAAGAGACAAGTTTTTTTTTTTAAAAAAAAAAAAAAACTAATTATCAAACATTAATAAACCGAACAAGTGAACTCGATAAACGATAGTACCGAACTGAAGTTAAAAATTATTATACAATACTAATGAACACGATTTATCATATTGAACAATTTACACTGGTATTTTATCGTATTTTATTAATATTATCTACAGTTGATATTTTGTCGTATTTTATTTTATGTAAAAAACTTTGTCCGCTCAAAGGTAGATAATGCACAAATTATGGTTACTTTAATTACTGGTTAATGTACCTACAAAATATATATTTTAAAAATATGTTAACTTTATCCAATAAGCATGAGTAGTGTCCACATTATCCATTTTTCATACTCTACTCGTAGCAGATAAATATCTTATATATCTTATATATATCTTATATCTGTCATTGAAACACCATACAAATACAGTTCTGAAATATTTTAAATACCTACTTCGCCAAATATTGTATTGGTATCTAAAAATATATTATTAATAATTATTGTACTTACATTAATTTATGTAATTTAATGAGAATTCCATAAAGATTTGTTTTTTGCTGTTCATAAATATGAAAGATCACTAATTATAGGCAATTTGACAATTTTTTTTAACAAGTTGTCATTTTTTAGATATTACATTTTTCAATAAAAGATTAAAAATAAATTTAAATTTTATTTCCGGTATGACATAATGTAAACATAATTTATCAAGTTGCATGAATAATTTTCTTCGAATTGCACCGTGTTTGCGCTACTTGAATGAAACATTTATAAATTACATATATGCTACTATGTGCCTACTTAAAAGTATATTTTTTCTGAAGCTCTGCAATTTCACACAAAAATAAACGATGAGTGTACCAGAAAAAGTACCAAAAAAACGTAGAATGTAACAAAGTTGTGATTCAAGTGATTTGAGTGATATTATAAATACTAATTAACAAAAACTAAACCCGTAAAAACTTTTAATTTTTTTCGATTATGAATTATCAAATTTAAATTGTTAAAGTTATCTGGTTATGTTAATTATTCATATATTACGGAGGTAACTATGTTAATTACTTGAGGTTATAATGATAAATATAAATTTGTATTTAATGATAGTAAGAAATAACTATAAATAATGACAAAAATTTTGGAGTAAATTAAATTTCGATCAGCCATGATACAATAGTATGGGTTATAATAATGTGATACACAATAATATTTTAAACTTCTTCACAAAATTTAAAAAATCATAGAAAATCTATATTTATTAAATTTTTAACCACCAATATTTTTTTTAAAAATCCTGTTTACAAAGTCACTATTTTAAATTTTTTTTTCAAAGAGCAGAACAAAATTTCAAATTTTCAAATTTGAATTCTAAAATTGAAAAAATCTTATAACGTAATTTCGTTGTAACGCAAGACATAAGTATTTATTAGGAAAAAAAAATTAAAAATAATAAACAGAACAAAAGTTATTGCATTTGTCGAATCATACTGGGACAACCTATATTTGATTTTTCTTATGATATCAAGTTCAAGCAATTCATATAAAAAAAACTCGTGATATGTGTAAATAAACAATTTATAGTATATAAATTAAAACAATTACAAACAAAAGCGATTATTATTCATAATCGATTTTGGTAGATATTATTTTATACTATTATATTTTTGTGCTTTAAAGTGTTTTTTTTTCCAATAGTAAAATAATTGTTTGAATGTATTCGAAATGCAAATTTAAAAAAAATTGATTATATTTGGAATACTTAAAAAGTATTCTGAATACTTTGTTCGAAATTATTCCCAATTTATATCTATATACAGTAAAACATTGACTATCCATAACTCTCTTATCCGTTAACTTCTGTTAAGTTACATGTGCGTTACTAATCGTCGTAACGTTATTATCTATTACAATATTGTACGCTGGTATATCACGTGTCTATGAAAAAAAAAGCCAAGTTACGTTGGTCAGTTAGTTTCTTAAAAATAATTATCAAAAATAACTACGAGTAATTTTTCAAGTTATTTTATTTTATCATAATAGCATAAATACATATAGTATTAAAATAAATGTATAATAATATAATTATTATAATTTTAAAAATGGTTTTCTATAAATGGTTCTAGAAGTAATGTGAAAAACTTGTTACTCACCACAATAAGTGATTTCATACATTTAGCACATCAATAGTATATGACTTTCAAAGTCAATAACTTTCGTTCGTTGTAACTACAACAACAGATTACTATTATAAATATTTATACTAAATTAAGATTAGTGTAATTTATAGCGAAAACCTCTATCTATTTAAACGACTGTATAAAATCCATTTGTTTTTCAAAGAATAATTTTATATTACTTTTGACATCATTATGAGTGGACAAAAAAAAACTGATCTGGAGAGAAGTGAAATGGAGAGGAACATAAATGGACAAAAAGCCAAAGACACACGATGCATAGAAATGTACAAGATGTGTGAAAAGGCAGACCGAATGGTAAAAGATAGGCATGCGTATTTAACATCAGAAGAGGAAAACATTTCTAAACATTTACAAGAAGTATTCGATTTTGAAATATAAGATGTATTTGATAAATAACAATATAACAATTTGTGTTTTCTGCAGATGGAAAATGAACAGTCCAGAAAAAACGCTGATCTAGAAGAAGAGCAAAAACTTGCCCAGGCTATGGAGAATTTAAAACATCAAGAATTGGTCGACATGAAAAACAAGTATATTAATATACTATTTGTACTGATTTATTATTCGAATCTATTACTAATTTTTAAAATATTGTAGTCAGTTACTCCATACAAATTCCCACGATATTAGACGTACCGAGAAGCAGTTACAAAACGATTTATTAAAAAATGAATTGATTTCTCAAATAAAAGAGAAAAAAGATAAACAAACAGAAGAGAAATTTAGAAAGTATTGTTCTGATTTAAAAATTATAGAAGCTGACCACGAAAAAAAAAATAAAGATATAGATTTACAAAATCGGAAAAAACAATCAAAGTATGATTATAAAAAAGCGATTACTGATCAAATACGAGATACTGCTGATAAACGATTAGAGTCATCAAAACTAAATTCTAAACATTTTCAACCTATTGGAAATTTGATTGAGTCAAGGGAACGTTTTGAAACGAAATGTAATAATGAAAATATTGAATTAAAAACTAAAAACGAGACGATGGAAAACGAACATAAAGAATCCGATAAATTAAAAAAGTAAGACGTAAAGAAACCCGTATTTAGGTAAACGATTTTATTTTGAGAGTACACACATCGACACCCATAGCAAAAATAACAAAGGGTGATGTCTCATGTTATTTTCAACATTTGGGTATGGTTAAAATTAATATTCAAATTTGTATTGTCACATAATTTTTTAATATTGTTTTTGCAAAAAAACGGTACGTATAGTATTTAATATTTGTTTAATATGTTTTTTCTTTAACTTTTCTGCAAAATATATATTAAGATAAAATAGTTATTAATATTTATTTGGGCTGTGACTTTTTTCGTTGTGAGATTGCTCGTGTATGTATGTTACATTATCATGTGTGCTCTGCCAAATAATAATTATATTTTATTATTTTATTCAAATAACATTTAGTCAAATAGAAGAGTATTTGACCATTATAGATACGCGAACAAAACAGCAAGAAGAGCTTAAAAACAAAAAAAAAGAAGAAAAGGAAAGAATCTATCAACATATAGTCGAAAAAATGAATTCGTTAGATGAGGTTAGTTATGCGCGGCGCAAATCAATGAAATATAAATGTTCTTGTATTGTGAATTTATTTTAATACATTAGACAAGTTCTTCGGAACAAAGATTAATGTACTCGGCTTATGAACAAGAACAAAAATTAATTGCTGATCAACTAGTGAAGGAAAAGGAGAAAGAATCGATAAAACTACAGAAAAATGAGATATTAAAACAAAATGAATTGCAATTAAAAGTTAAGAACGACCGGAAAAAGGAATATAAAGAACAGGATTTCGTGGAATCCAAAAAGGTATTTGCATTCAATATTTATGTTTGTGTGCTTCGTAATAACTATAAGATATGGTCGATAATATACGTATTGTGCATGTAATAGATTTTGCAAAATATTCAAGACATCAATGAGAAAGAGCTGAAAAAAAACATCGAACGGCGACAGATGATGATGGAATACGGAAATGAGTTGAAAGTAGCGATTGACAAAAGGGCCGATCTCAGAAACGAATTGAAAACGAAACTGAAGAATGACGACAATACTTATAAATCTTTTTTCAGTTATTAGTTTTCCTCAGAATTCCCACGTCTATCATACGCATATATTTTATTTGTTAAATAAAAGACGCTTTCTGATATGTTTCCTTCGACTCATTTTTATAGTCTTATAAACGGCTGTATGTAAACTGCGGCAAAATTAACCTTTTTCTAAAAGTCGATGTTTAAGCTGCGGCGAAAAAAAACTTCAGATTATACAATCTGCGACAAAACTGATAAGATACATTATACAAACTGCGGCATTTGATTTTATATACATACCTTCTATATATACTATTTATTATAGTACCTAAATCGTATATACCTAATCTAACCTACCTATGTATACCTATGTACGTATATTGTTTAATTAATTATGAAACGTGTGTCTTGCGTACAAAGTCATAAGGTAAATCCAAATTTATTTTTAAGTCTTAACGAAACATATCGGTAATATCGGTTCCTTTACTTTTGAAATTATTAGTTATTAACTACTAACAAGTGTTAGAGGTTAGTAGAAATAAAGTTTAATATTTATTCAACGTCATGGAATTTACAACAATCTTTTGCTAAAATGGCAAAGAATTAACAGTGTTAAATAATTTTAAATTCAAATTTTAATTTTAGAAAGGGCCAAATGTAATTTTTGAAAATCACTTGCGGAGCACAAATATTTTTAATAATAATAACCGTAACATTGATTGTTTTTCAGAAAAAATTCCTTTTTTTAATTCAACTAGTTTGTCTTCTCTTATTTTAGACGAGTGGGGATAATTTTTAGAAAATTCAATTTGCTGAGTTGTGTAATGACGATTAATATTTTAACGTTTTGGAATATTTATGGTTTTACGACAAATTAAACATATTAAGCATCGTGTTTCTTACCAGAAATATAGAAAAATTCTATCTCCCGACTGTCTTGAAATATTCTGCGTTCATCTTTGATTATACGTTTCGCCATGATAGAGAATTAAAATGTAAGTGATAAAATACAAACGGACAATAAGCGATAATGAATAAACTCATCATACAAGACTACGCGGTGGTAATGAATAAACCCGTAATCGTAGGTACCTGCTTATCTGACCAACTGGTAATTCAATACAAGTTTAAAATAGAAAGATAAAATAAATAAAAACAATAAGATAAAAAGCAACATTCATTTTATTCTCTATAGAATTTTGGATTTTAGAGTACAATTTAATTTTAGTGCGGGCCGTGTAGTGGCCACATATTATTCCTAATTAAACGATAAACGTGCTATAGGTTATCGTAACGATATGTATCGAATATATATATAGTACATATAGAAATTATATATAATAAATTACAGCAGTTTGTATAATGTATCTTATCGGTTTTGTCACAGATTGTATAATCTAAATTTTTTTTTTTGCCGCAGTTTACATATAGACTTAAAAAAAAAGATTAATTTTGCCGCAGTTTACCATCTTCCTTATAAACAAGGAGATTAAATACTTTTGAATACTATTTTGTTCACGATCATTAATCAATATTCTAGTTTGTTTGAAGTCTTAGTTTTTTTGAACTACTATGTTTGAAAATATTTAACTATCCCAAAATAATAATTCCCGGTGCTATTCAAGTTAGAGCTCAATGCTGTAGTGTAAATGCACATTGATTAAAATTAACGAAGTGACATGGGTGTTGCGAGGGGGGGCACTTGCCTACCCCTGCGTCTCAAACTGAATTATATTTGTTTATACCAAACGTGTAAGTTTTACATTAAAATCAAAAATTAAATAAGATATAATTTTAAAAATAGTTTAGTGGGACCGAGTGATATCTACACGTGTAATCGTTTTGACGTTTTATGTGTTATCCAATGGTCTATCTGTAGATTATTTGAATTACGAGTTTAATACTAATCATTTTATGTTTTTGCCTCTCCCTGATTCAAATTTTAGTTACGCCCATGCGTAGTGAAATATGATTTTTTTTCCTTTCATCGTTTTGTCGCCATGTACCTATTTAATATTTAATATTTGTACTTATTATTTAAGCATTAATTATAGTATTTTCTCTACATTATTAGCTAATTTGAATAGTATTATATACTCATACTCACCGGAACAGTGTAATAAATAAAATAATCTTAATGAAAATCGTAAATAAATAAATCCCCTATCAGTGGAGAAATGGGAAAACATGATTATAAAATTCAATTTTTTTACTGCTTTTTCTGAATAACAGTTGTTTGTTTTTAATTTAAATATAGTTATAAATTATAAGTTGTTTTAAATTATTGTATAACAATAATCTTAAATGTCGAAGGACCACTAGGCTCGGCCCGAGAACAACGAATCTGTTATTTTTAATATGGGTACGCCCTTGGGCGTATTTAGGGGGGGTGATATAAGTGTTAGAACACCCCTCCCCCATCAACCGTATTTTATCGTATTTCACCAAATTACAAACTTACAGTATAATTTGAACAAACGTTGTATACAACTTGTAGATTTTACATATGCCGTCTTAATATAATCATTTTCATTTATATAATGATTTATATAAATCCATGGTATCTATTGATGTAATACGGGAGGGGGCAAAGCCCCCTGCTTACCATAAGTCTATTAAATTTTAAGACAACCCCGTTAAATGAATCCTGGATACGCTACTGGGTACGCCCGAGTCGGATCGCATGGGCAATCTATTTGGTAAGACGTTTCGCTTGCCCCGGCTCGGGTTAAACATATTAATCTTAAAATATCACTAGTAAAAATATTAATTATCTTGACTTCGTACAGTATTCCAATGTTATACAGTATTCCCGATATCTTATTATTAGGTTTAACCGAAGAAAAGATAAGAATACTCAAATTTGTATGTTTATTTGTTGAAACAATGTTGCGATAAAAATATTATGAATGGTACAACTATTATAATATTGCATATTATGATAAGGGCACTGTTTCGTAAATTTTCGGAAGGGGACACGCCGTAGTATTAGATAATCAATACACAAATACATGTTGGTAATAATTGTACCTGTATAATCATAAAAATCAATAAATAGTTATACCATGGAAAGATAACATTTGCCCCGGTGTCTGCCAAATAAAATATGGTAACCATAAGCTGATATATCAGACTCGAAAGGAAGAATTACCATTATCTGCTCGATGGCATGGGCGTTTTTTTATTTTTTTTTTTTTTTTTTTTTGTTCAAATAATATCGGTTTTTATTTTTTTCAATCGCAACGTTTTACACGATCGTTGCTCGCTTGAAAATGATAACGCCGTAAAGAAATCTATGTCGCGGCGCACGTAATGTTCTCGCTTTTTTTACGCCGCGTCACGGGTCAATGGTTGCCAACCTCTCGTCTGTTCCGTACCCCTAAGCTTAATATTTTGCACGGATCGTTATAACCTTTAAACTTCATCTCGTGTTACTGCTCCTGTAACGTTTCAAATAATATAAATCAATAATTGCTCCGACATTACGCAATGTTTTTTCGCGTACTCCGAGTTTGGGAACCGCTATCCTACGAGATACGCGAGCAATAATGTTATCATAGCCCGCCCATCCGCCGGCCTATTTACCGTACGGATAGGACATCCCATAAAATAAAATCTATTTTCAATATTTTATCGCGTTCGCGCAGCACACAGCGTTTATTGTTGTTCGTCATTCCGTGTTCGAATGCAAACCTGCCGCGGCTTTTTCGGTTTTGAGAACCCTTGGTCTTTCGACATTTTCAGATTTATCGATTCCGTCCTTATCATATGACGCTAATTGTTCCTCGTACCCCCCCGTGAACGTCGAATTTCTGTTTATTTCACCAGACGTCCGATCGCTTGGGTTTTTTTTTTTTCGGTTTTCTCGAATTACGTTATCCGATGAACTTTGTTTTCTATTGTGTTTTGCGTTTTACATAAAGTGATAGATCGAATTGTTTTCAAATAAAATACATTATCCGTGTTAAGAAAAACGTTAAATATCCTCGTTTGACATAACGAAATGTCGTCTTCCAAAGATAAATTGTTTATTAAAGACTCTCAAGTTATGAAGTCGATAATGAAAGAATTGGGGATAAAAGATTTCGATGAGCAAGTTATAAGACATCTATTGGGATTTAATTACAGTAAATACAGTAAAATTATAATATGTAGGATTGTGATTTCATTTTATTATTATATACCAGAGTACTCAACAATGATTTTGGAAGATGCCCAAAGATATTCAAAATTTGCTAATAAGGACAACATTGATGTCGATGATGTCAAACTAGCAATACATTTTTCTCAAGATAAATTACTCATTAAACCTCCAGATCGTGAAGTAACTATAACTAATATAACTATTTACTAAGTATATTTTTAATTATAAATTTTCGATATTGTAAATATGCATTTTGACAAAACATCTAGTATTAGGATTAAATATAACTCATAGCCTGAGTCTTTAAAATCTTTTTGAAGTAATGAACCACAGAAGTATCTTGTATGTTAAAAGCTGATGCCCATTACTTATATATGTGTCCAATGTGATATTACTATATTATTTAACATAAACTTTATTCTCATAGTTCTAAAATGTTCAATGAAATATTGCTTCCACCATTAATGTGGTAATTATTATTTGTCGGTTCTATAATTTGTTCATAAAATATTTAGTTGTTTCAATTGACAAATAATTAAAGTTTATACGAAGATTATCAAATTTTTTAAGATTAAAAATTAATATTTAGAGACACAAGTCAAAAAAGTCAAATAAACAGTAAATTAACTTTTCAAATGTTCGTTAACAGAACTATAATTCTCTTATGAACACTCTTTGTTTATAATTTATCATACAATTTTATAGCTGGGATTTAATAATAATTAATGTTTGTTTAAATTGTACTAAAATAACAATTACTAAAATATTTACCCTATTATTGTACACAGATAAAATTAAATGTATTAAAAAATTATCTTAAATTAAATATAAATATGAGTTTTATATGCAATTATATTTTAACATTTATAATTACTATCAAATTTAAAAATCGGTTAGAAATAAAATACTACTTGCTCTATTAGATATAATTTATGTAGTTAAAAATGGAATCAAATTAACAAAATTACAAAAAATTCATGTTATTCTCGATATAATGTATTTAATAATATTAATATTAAATATAAATATATAAATATTATATTATATTATTATTAATATACATATATAAATACATAGATTTATTATACATTATTTATTTATTTATTTGTAAATATACTTAATGTATCAATAAATTAATTACTTATATGTATATAGATTTATTAATATTATTCTTACTATTATTAGTATATTTTGAGAAACTATTACTTATTAATTCAAATATTTTATGATTTTTAGGCTCTTATGGCAGCATCTAAAGAGATAAATAATAAAGCATTACCTCCAATTAAGAATACTAAAGGTTTGCACATTCCTCAAAGTTATAGATTTGCATCAGAATACCAACTTAAAACTGATTTGGTAATGAAATATTATTATTATATCTTGAATTCTATTTTATTTTATTTTTTTTATGTACAGAAATCTGAAAAAGAGGCAAGTAAATCTGGCACAACCACTATAACTACAGCTGCAGAAATATTAGAAGATTCTAAAAGAAGAAACACCAAGAAAATTAACAAGGGTATTAAGTGTAATTTTATTTAATTCTTATGCCTCAAATTATTTAATATGATAGAGAAAAAAACCAAAAGATTTTGTTGAAATTTTGCTTAATATTTTTGAAATTTAGTCAAAAATACATAAATAATATTAATTTGGATAGTATATACAATTTCTATTATAAATTAATTTTATTTTTCTTAACTTATGTATATGTGTGTGTGTGTGTGTGTGTGTGTGTGTGTGTATGTATATATTACAAGCGATATGGAATACTGGGCAATGTACACATTACTCAGGAAATTTGATCCTGCTCGAGCAATTTAAATCATAAATACAAATAGATAGTTATAAAGTACAAAGCGTCTTGAAAAGCACGAAAACTCGACTGCTGAATCGTAAATATTAATTATTATTCATATATTGTTGTCTAATTTTATGGGCATAACTATTACTTTTATCAATGTAATATAGGAAAACAATAAATATAATATAGAATAACAAAAATAATGAGTAATAAATATTATCCTGATATATTATACTTTGTTCTGTATTATAATAAAATGATAAGAAATTATTAATAAAATATTTTACAGTATATTATTATAAGTATATAAGTTTATAACAATTATTTATGATATTTTTATTTGAGATTCAAAGTGCCTGGGCAGAACAAAATCGCCCCAGCAATGTGTACATTGCTCAGAATTCTATATTAACCGTAACATATTTATGTATAAAATATATATACCATATGCATATTATATGTTTATATTTATCTATTCATGAAAAGTTAGATATATTGTAAGATATAGATAAACATTAATTAATTTATAGTGTATTGAATTGATAAATGTAATGGATATCAATTTTACTACTAATTTATAGCCTAATTTGCTTAAATATTTAGTACCAATGAAATCAATTAATCGTTTACCATTTTCTTTTAAATTCTGTGTTATCTTAAATTTACAATTTTATTTTTATTATGTTTTGATTTTTTTATGTCAGCAGATAATCTAGTTATGGATGATTTACTTCAATATGATTTTCAAGAGACTCTTGCAACCCGAGTGAATAGTGAAGGTTTAAATGAAGAAATAATTGGCCCACAAGAATTTGAACCGAACTTCTTTAATAATAATTTAAACCAATATTAAACTAAAATCTTCTCCACAATTTGTAATGTCATTAAACTGTACAGTTTATATAAAAACTTTTTAATTTATGAACAATTTTATGTAACACTTATTCTGAAAATCTATCAATAGCTTACCATTAATTGTATTTTAAAATAATATCAGTAAATTAAACTACTTTCTTAAAATAAGTTTTTAAATTATTTTATCATTTAAGTATTGGATAAAATACATTTTAATTTAATAACTTTTATATTTAAATAGTTTAAATATAAAACTAGTATTAAAATATAAACAATTTTTGTTTAGTGATTTTATTTCCATTTTAAAATAAGTGAACAGAAGAGTTCTAAAATTTGTTTGTTAAATAAATGTTATAATATAATTCAGCTCATTATAGTTTGACAATTGAGTTTAAATATATTGGTTTCTCATTTATAAGTATCCCATATAATGTGTTATGAAATACATATTTGCATAAAACTACACATTTTTTAAATGTAGATTAGCAGATTTAGATATTGGAAATTAACTGTAAACAATAAAACTAAGATATAACATATAATGATATGCCATTATCTTTTTAGATTAATACTATGCACCTAATTATTAATAACTATTAATATTGATATTAATTTATTAATTATTAATAATTATTAACTATTCAACAAATTTATTTTTATTGTGTCAGTAATAGTTTCAATAGGGAGAATTTTGTAAGATATTGCAGTAGTAAATATTTAATTTTTTTTTTTTTTAATAAAAATTTAGCTGAAAATATGTTATTTGAAATCACAATTTTTTTTAGAAATGTATACTGAAAAATAGTTTTAGAATAATCCTAGGTTTTTATTTAATAGTACACAAATAAAATTAAAAATATTAGGTATAAATAATAAATAATTAATCATCATCACCTCCTTTATTTTTGATAATTTCTTGTCCATTATTATACTCAACACTGCTATTCTTACACTACTTTAGCTCATGAAATTAATATTTTATTGCAATAAGTATTAAATATATATTCAATTTAATAAAAAAATATTACCTACACATATTTTTTTTATAAAATGATAAACCTTTAAATAAATTAGAAAAAAAGAGCAGCAATAATACTAGTATTAATAGTAGCGGCCTCCTCATGCAAAAATGATGGTGGGTATCCCAATGACTCCAGGACCTAAACGGCTTGTTTATGATTTATATTCACATAGTCACATGCGACCTACATACCTAGATAAATATTAGGTACCTACTCTACGTTACATCATAGAAAAATTCTTTAAATATATAATGAATGGATTGTACATTGTAAGAAGTAACATCAATTAGATTGTTATTAACAGTATTCAGTTATATTGGATACAATTTTCATAACAGTACTTACCTATTAACTTAAAAATACTTATAAATGTTATTAGTAAAAAATAACCAAATACCTACTTATAATATATTTTCTGGTATCTGTCTGAAGATAGAAGGTGTAAAGTGTTTCAGTTTGAGAGCGTGGTCAAAATGAACAAAAACAAAATAAAGATTTTACAATTAGTATATTAAAATTTAAAAATAAATTTATAAATTGTAAAACTAAAAATGGTTAGGTACTTAAAAACTGAAGCGTTTTAAATTAGAATAATTATTTTCTGAATTTATTTTTACCAAGCAAAGTACACCAAATTGCAGGGTTAAATTAATATATAATTAAATATACATTACGAAAAACATACGTACTTTTATGAATTGTTGGTGCAGAAGTCAGCCAAACTAGAGCACTTTAGTAGCTTATATGCTTATAGTTAGGTTGGCCAAACATAAGGCAACTCAAGAGATAATTGTTTTGCAGGTGGTAGAGATTATTTTTTTTATTATCTCTTTGGATTGCTGTTATTACCGAACATTCCGGAGTGTTAAAGCTACAATTAAAATGTGTGAAAAGTGTAAGGTTGCCCGCACACTATAGACTTTTTATCGGCCGATAGTTTTGTCGGGTTGGGCTGTTAGTGCGCACACTAGACCAACTTAATAGTCGGGTTGGTGGTGACTGCGCACACCTGCCAACAGTCGGCCGATCATTGCTATCAATTGTATTATATAGTTGTTATTATTATATATTAATGTATTAGTTGCTATTGAAGAAAGTGGTCGCGTGAAAATTAATGACAAAATGTTGTCCGGAAATGTAACTATTGCTTTGATACAACGGAAAAGAAGGAATACGAAGAAAAGAAACCGAGAATATTGGGTACATCCTATCTACAGTGATAGATTATTATAAGGAAAATTCTACACAATGCTCTCGAAATTGTTATAGAGCGCGGGTCTTTTTTCGATTTCTTCTATTAAATTTTCAATAGACGATTCGATAAACAACGACATCTTCTACCAGCAGAGATGGAACTAGGAATTTTTACGCCCGGGTAAAATGTTAAAATTACGCCCTATCCATAAACTAATAAACAAATACTCAAATAAATTGTGTTCTTATAATCAATATACAATCGTACTTATTGAGTTTTAACCTAATATCAGTATTTAACGAAGTTAAAAATATCAAATTAGTTGTTAATAATTACGAAAATTACACCCTCTAAAATACTACGCCCCACAGTGGTTTGAATCGTTATATTAGCTTGCAAAAACTAATTTTAGAAAACACGAAAAATACGTATTTAACTATCAAAATAAAATTGTATACCACTTTATTGAAACTTAAATAGAACATTTGATTAGATAAAATGACCCATATTTATGTACGATGCGATAAAATTGTTAAAATAGTATCAAAACTCGTACAAACCGTCGTCGCGACGCGTCGGTTGCATGCGTGTTAGGCGGGCTGCACACTGAAGAAACTTGTTTTAAGAAACTAATTTCATGAAATGTGAAACTTTAATTTCATGAAACCATTCAATTGAAAATCAAATAGATACGCACACTGAGTTTCATGAAACAAAAATTTATAATAGTTTAAAATCTTTCTTCGTTATATGTGGTCCAACTGACTGCACTAAACGATGAAAAGCAACTTGAGACATTCTATAGAAACTTTGGAATTTATCCTCATCGGCGGTTAATTCCTTTGCAACTACATAGCTATTATGCTGTTTATCTTTTAAAAGTGGATGAATCCAATACCTACGTTTCATTTTTTTGTTACGAAGCCACCAATATAACATAAACACATCCTCATCATCAGACGACATTGTCGAAACTATACATTAGTTTCTCACACTTTAGTTTCACTGGTGTACGCAAATAAGAAATTAGTTTCATAAAACTAGTTTCATGAAATTTATTTCTTAAATTGGTTTCTAAAACAAGTTTCTTCAGTGTACAGCCCACCTTAGTTTTACTCGTATCATGAGTACTATACGTATAACAAAATTTTTTTTAATTTTTAAAACACAATGGTCATCGTTCCCACACGTAAGTATTAATATCAATATATTTATACTTATATTTTAGATATTTACTGAACAAATACAAATATAATATAAGGTTTTTTATGTATTTTTTTTTTTTTAAGACAATTACTTTTTAGTTTCCGAAAGTTTCTCGTCCAAATTACAAAAATATTATAGTACTAATGGTCAGCTTTAATGCTATCTTAATTTCATTTGCGT